ACCTCAGATTTTCCTGTTCTTGACGTGTGTGTGTGTGTGTGTGTGTAAATGGCCCTTTTAGAAGCTGTGATGGACTGTGGCTTTGGAAATTGGTAAGAGCTTGGTGTTAAGGGTTGTCCTGCCCTAGTGGGCTCAGAGAGGAAGGTGCTGTTGAAGGGTAAAGGGAGGAGCCTTAGAAAGAGGAGTGTGTGTGTGTGTGTGTGTGTGTTCTTGACCCATGACTTAGAGATACGTCCTCTTGTGTGTGTGTGTGTGTGTGTGTTGGCTGAAATGCCTCAAAGAGATATGGTATGTTTAGTTGTCCATGACTGGGCAGCTCTGAAAGGCCACTTTGGATATATCAAGACGGTGTGTGTGTGTGTGTGTGTGTTGAATACTGGGGAAGTTTAGACTTACTAGTTAGTGTGTGTGTGTGTGTGTGTGTATTTTTCTTGACTATAGATACCCTCATCATTTGTGTGTGTGTGTGTGTGTGTGTATGGCCATAGCTTACTGGAGGCTCGAGTTTGGGAGACCTGTTACTTGCATTCCCTGTTTTTAGCTTGCAGATAAGTCAAAGCCTGGGTGTGTGTGTGTGTGTGTGTGTCTGTTGCCCTAGGAGGCAATGCCACCTAATAAGTGTGTGTGTGTGTGTGTGTGTACCTTTTGGGAATACTTTCACACTGATGATTTGTGTGTGTGTGTGTGTGTGTGTGGGACATTATTAAATTATATTTCGTTCATGAAGTGTGTGTGTGTGTGTGTGTGTAGATCATTTCTTATGATCACATAGCTTATTCGGTGTGTGTGTGTGTGTGTGTGTTCCCTGTCCTGACTTACTAGTGTAAGTAATCTATCCCAATAGCCATAGAAGATACCTCCATTGTGTCCGGGGCCCTGCAGAAGGAAGTGTGTGTGTGTGTGTGTGTGTGCTTGTATTTATTCAGCATTTAGTAAGCATCAGTGTGTGTGTGTGTGTGTGTGTAATACCAAAGAAAACAGAAAAAAGTGATCACTTGTGAGGAGCTTGCTAATCATCTTGGGCCTAGTTTTTCATTTTTTGCTTGCCTTGTGTGTGTGTGTGTGTGTGTGTATCCTCCCTGTTCCCCTTCCCTCTTGGTAAAGGTGTGTGTGTGTGTGTGTGTGTTTTCTCTGTCAACTGTGAGTAAGACACTAAACGTGTGTGTGTGTGTGTGTGTGTTAAAAATTATGACATGTATTCTGCCCTCAAGAGTGTGTGTGTGTGTGTGTGTGTTCAAAATGTACGTAGGGATGATTGGAGTACACGTGTGTGTGTGTGTGTGTGTGTTAGCAGATGGGCAGGTTAAGTACTGGAGAGGAGTGTGTGTGTGTGTGTGTGTGTAGAGCTTCCATCTCTACTCCTCCACCATCTGGGCTTAGGAGTCAGGTCTGAAGTACAGATTCTGGCTTTGTGCACTTACGTGTTTTGTGTGTGTGTGTGTGTGTGTGTATCTCTTTGGGCCTCTTTTTCATCTGTGAAACGTGTGTGTGTGTGTGTGTGTGTTACATGGATAACACTAGGGCTAACTTCAGTTATGTTATGAATGTTTTTAGCTTCGTGCTTGGCCTATCATGGGCACTCTAGTAAAGGTGTGTGTGTGTGTGTGTGTGTTTTTGTAAACTATAAAACATGATGCAAATATGGTGTGTGTGTGTGTGTGTGTGTGAGTGTTCTGAAGTGGTTTATTATAGCAGTTCGTGTGTGTGTGTGTGTGTGTGTCGGAAATTTACAGATTTTCTAGTGATCTTCCTTGCTTTTGGTGGAAAGGAAAGCACTTTTCGGATCTTATTTCTGTATCTTGGAATGTGTGTGTGTGTGTGTGTGTGTATTACACCAGTATTAGGCTTATATTTCTCTCAGTGTGTGTGTGTGTGTGTGTGTATACTGGTTTGGAGGTGTCAAATTCCAGACATGTGTGTGTGTGTGTGTGTGTGTATGGAAAGAGCAAACCGTGCTTTGAACCACTTGTGTGTGTGTGTGTGTGTGTGTTCTTCTCACGATCCTCTAGGCAGGATGTAGCCGTGTGTGTGTGTGTGTGTGTGTAGGAAGAGTGTGAGAAGCACTATATGAAGCATGTGTGTGTGTGTGTGTGTGTGTCGTCTACCCTGCTGAACCTGAAGCACGCGGAGGTGTGTGTGTGTGTGTGTGTGTCCATACCATTTCAGTGTAAGTGCCTCCTGTGTGTGTGTGTGTGTGTGTGTGTGTCCTCCGGCCCTGTTGCTGTAGCAGATGAACAGTGGTTTGGGCAGCTGAAGAGCTTATGGAAGATGGGAGGGGTTGGCCTGGCAGTTGTGTGTGTGTGTGTGTGTGTGTGGGAAAAGGGGTTGGAGTCCTGCACCGGAAATGTGTGTGTGTGTGTGTGTGTGTTAGTCCCACCCACTCTGAGGCTTGTGAACATAGTGTGTGTGTGTGTGTGTGTGTCGGATGAGATGTCCAAAATGAACCAACCTTCGGTGTGTGTGTGTGTGTGTGTGTCTAGATATTAGTTATGAGAGTCCAGTATTTGAGTGTGTGTGTGTGTGTGTGTGTGTGTTGAGTCCAAGAAGCAGCTTGTTATTTTAGTGTGTGTGTGTGTGTGTGTGTTAGGAAGCTTTTTTTTTTTTTTTAATCTCATGGTGTGTGTGTGTGTGTGTGTGTTCTAACAAAACAAAACTAAAACCATGATGAGTGTGTGTGTGTGTGTGTGTGTGTATGACTCCCAGAAGCACAAATAATGAGATATGGTGTGTGTGTGTGTGTGTGTGTTTCCCCGCCCCTTTCCTCAGACTCTGTAGAAAGTGTGTGTGTGTGTGTGTGTGTAAAGCCTGATGATACCTATTTGGAAAACACTTTGGGTGGTAACATTTTGTTTTCAAATCCATTAGATCATTTGTTCCTCATAGCAAGTGTGTGTGTGTGTGTGTGTGTGTGCTTTTGCTTTATACATGAGGAAACAGATTCAGAAAGGTTAAATAATTTGTGCTTCGTGGGACTAGAGGATATTAGAGCTGGGAGTGTGTGTGTGTGTGTGTGTGTATCCTGTGGGGTTTTTTTGCCCAGTTGGGTGAGTGTGTGTGTGTGTGTGTGTGTCTAAGGGGTAAGGGAACTGAAGCAGACAGGGTAAATACTTATGTTCTGTAATATTAAAGAGAAGATCCTTGGTTTTCTGTTACGTTGTGTGTGTGTGTGTGTGTGTGTATTTCCCCATTTTATTTAGAGAATTTCCCAAGGTGTGTGTGTGTGTGTGTGTGTTCAGTCTGTTTCCATAATATTTTATCTTTCTCGTGTGTGTGTGTGTGTGTGTGTTTTGGATTTTATTTATTCTCTCAGACACTGTTTTTTTCCCAAACAAAAATATTTCAGAGCGTAAATGAGGACTATTTCTCTGTTACTTTTCCATGCCAATATTTTATTAACTAACTAAGAACCTAAATTCTTCCAGCTACAGATGACCCTCCCCGACCTACCTTTGACTCCTTGCTTTCTCGGGACATGGCAGGGTGTGTGTGTGTGTGTGTGTGTTTTATCGAGGTAGGAGAAACTTGTTTTTGTTTGTGTGTGTGTGTGTGTGTGTGTCCTATAGGTTCCATACCACTAAAAACAGATTTGTGTGTGTGTGTGTGTGTGTGTGCCTTAGGCAGCCACGTGTTCTTTCATTTGAGGTGTGTGTGTGTGTGTGTGTGTTTTCACATATAAAATGTAGTTTTACATACCAAGTGTGTGTGTGTGTGTGTGTGTGATGTTGGCTCTCACTTACTTAATAGATACGGGGTTTCTGTGGTCTGGTTCTCATTCCACCCCTAGGGCATTTCAAAGTTGTACAGGTGTGTGTGTGTGTGTGTGTGTTCCTTTAAGGACCAGACAGTAAATGTTTTTTGGTGTGTGTGTGTGTGTGTGTGTAACTAAACTGCCATTACTGTGCAAAAGCAACAGTGTGTGTGTGTGTGTGTGTGTACATGCCTGTGCTCCAATAAAACTTTATTTACGTGTGTGTGTGTGTGTGTGTGTTTGTCCATAGACTGTAGTTTGCTGATCCCTGTTCTGTATTCAGAAGTATATAAAGCATGATGAATGTATATAAAAACTGTATATTCGTGTGTGTGTGTGTGTGTGTGTAACCATGTGAAAGCAATTACAAGTCTCTTGATTTATCATCTGATCCACAATGACAACGCTTCTGGAGATAATTTGAAAGTTTAGCAGTGTGTGTGTGTGTGTGTGTGTACACACAGGTCATCATTTTGTTCATGGCAGCTGTGTGTGTGTGTGTGTGTGTGTGACACTGCTCCTACAAATTGTACTCATTGAGTGTGTGTGTGTGTGTGTGTGTGTTTGAACTATATAAGCAATATCAAATAAATAGAGTGTGTGTGTGTGTGTGTGTGTAGTTGGTTAAGCAACTGCCTTCAGCTCAGGTCGTGTGTGTGTGTGTGTGTGTGTGAGTCCCGCATCGGGCTCCCTGCTCAGCAGTGAGTCTGCTTCTCCCTCTGACCCTCCCCTCTCTCATGCTCTCTCTATCTCATTCTCTCTCTCAAATAAATAAATAAAATCTTTAAAAAAAAAACAAATAAATAGAGCCTGTGTGTGTGTGTGTGTGTGTGTAGGTAAATGAATTAATGTAGACAATGTTCTTCGTGTGTGTGTGTGTGTGTGTGTCAGAGTTAGATTTCTCAGTTTAGATTTTATGAGTGTGTGTGTGTGTGTGTGTGTAACACTAGGTTTGGCTTTATTCCTGGACTCGTGTGTGTGTGTGTGTGTGTGTGTCTCTACTGCCTGAAAGCCTCTCAAGCTTTTTCCTGTGACTTCTTCTTTCTTATAGTAGTTTCCTGACTATGTACTACTCCATTCGGGTGTGTGTGTGTGTGTGTGTGTTCTTTTCTGTTTGCTTCTAAAGCATGGCTACTGTGAAGGCATTACTCAAAGCTGATGGGTTTGGGGTGGGGATTTTTTTCCCCAAAGTGTGTGTGTGTGTGTGTGTGTAATGGGACTTGAGAGACATCGATTTTGTTGAAGATGACTCGGACATTTTACATGGTAACATTTTATTTCAGCACATGTTTTTATCAATTGTAAAGTGTATGGTGACACTGTGTTGGGTGCTAGAAATGAATAAAAGGATGGTGTGTGTGTGTGTGTGTGTGTTATGGGACTCAAAACCTGGTGGGGTAAGTTGCGTGTGTGTGTGTGTGTGTGTGTTTGACCACATGAAAAAGATCATTTGTGATGAAGTGTGTGTGTGTGTGTGTGTGTTGGTGGTTGGTATCCCGGTCTTGGACTGTGTGATCTTTCTTTTGACTGAGGTAAGCCTCCAATGAGGTAGTTGGTTGAATGGCTCTGTGTGTGTGTGTGTGTGTGTGTGAGTCAATGTGAACACCTTGGGAACTTCAGTAGTGTGTGTGTGTGTGTGTGTGTCACCATAATTTGTTACCCCAAATTTCTCTTAGGTGTGTGTGTGTGTGTGTGTGTTTCAAGGGTTTTTAGACCAAGCTTGGGAAATTCTTGTTTCTCAGTACTGTTGAATTTTCAGCACTTCTGAATTCTCACTTAAGATGGTGTGTGTGTGTGTGTGTGTGTATTCTTGTGTTATAACATAAGTAGTTAATGCCGTGTGTGTGTGTGTGTGTGTGTGGTTAAGACTTCCGTTGAATCTCTTTTTTCCCGTGTGTGTGTGTGTGTGTGTGTCTACCTATTTAAAATAATCCCCAGTCTTTCATGTGTGTGTGTGTGTGTGTGTGTTACAATAGGTGAGTAATGCCTCCTTGGATTCTCCCACATTTCCCAAACAGTGTCTTCATTGTTTCTCTTAAATCTATATCCCAGGCGTGTGTGTGTGTGTGTGTGTGTGTGGAATTGCAAATCAAGTTTGCATATTACATGTGTGTGTGTGTGTGTGTGTGTAAGGGCACTTGATTCTCCTCTCCATACAAGAGGTGTGTGTGTGTGTGTGTGTGTAGATCTGGGACAGAGAAAGAGTCCTCTTAAAAATTTTACCTTCAGGATTTACCATCGACATATTTCTTGAGCTGTTTTCTTCGCAAGTGTGTGTGTGTGTGTGTGTGTCCCACACGGCTTTAAGGAAAGTGGAGGTGACGGTGTGTGTGTGTGTGTGTGTGTGCTTGAAAGCAAACTACTCGAGCATTCACTAGATAGACTGTATTTGTTCAGTCTTCCACTTCAGTCTCTTCCTTTCCAGCCCAGTAGTGTGTGTGTGTGTGTGTGTGTCCTCTGGGGGTGTTCCCCAACTGCAGTGTGCAGTGTGTGTGTGTGTGTGTGTGTGTCACACCAGCTTTAATTAAAATGCTATTGTTGTGTGTGTGTGTGTGTGTGTGTTCAGAATGCAAAAAAAAAAAAAAAAAAGTAGCGTGTGTGTGTGTGTGTGTGTGTATAACTGTTCAAAAGTAACCAACTTTTCAGTCGTGTGTGTGTGTGTGTGTGTGTGCTCAACTATGTCAGAGGCTTGCCAGATCACTGTGTGTGTGTGTGTGTGTGTGTTAGTCTTAACATTATCAACAAAACTGTGGTAAGTGTGTGTGTGTGTGTGTGTGTTTCATTCTTTGTAGAAGCAAGATTTGCAATTTCTTCTGGTACACTGTGGTTCTTTCTGTAACTAAGTAGGGCAACAGGAAAAAAATGTGTGTGTGTGTGTGTGTGTGTAGTTTTCGTTTCAGTTAGCATTTCAAACCTAGAACATACTTTAGTTGTGTTCTTCCTGCAATTTCTACAGCCTTGTAAGCCCCTTGGTGTGTGTGTGTGTGTGTGTGTATCGAAGCATCAGCTACTGACTGTTATAATAAGTGTGTGTGTGTGTGTGTGTGTCATCAGCCCTGCCTCCCTTTTCCCTCCCTGTCGTGTGTGTGTGTGTGTGTGTGTTCAGATGGGTGCTTTTTAAAAGATGTTGACATGTGTGTGTGTGTGTGTGTGTGTTGAGATCAAAGGGATGACTTGCTGGTGCCACAGTGTGTGTGTGTGTGTGTGTGTCTAGAGTTCTTATTTAGCTCCTCTGGCTGCATGTGTGTGTGTGTGTGTGTGTGTGTATGGCCCCCAAGCCCCTGAGCCGAGCACTTTCTCCCAGAATACCCAGTGAAGGGGAGGGACTAGGAGCCTACTCCCAGTGGCAAGTGTGTGTGTGTGTGTGTGTGTGAAGGAATGAGAAGGAGCTTTCTGAGCACACCGTGTGTGTGTGTGTGTGTGTGTTTTTGTGCAAATTAGGACACTGATTCTACTTCGTGTGTGTGTGTGTGTGTGTGTGTGATCTTGGGCAAGTCTTTGCAATCTTGCTTGTGTGTGTGTGTGTGTGTGTGTGTGTCCACTGCCAGTAAAGGAGGGGTAACACTGTGTGTGTGTGTGTGTGTGTGTCTCCAGTGAAGATGATATGTAATTGAGATTGGGTGTGTGTGTGTGTGTGTGTGTCATTATACTCTTAATATTACTGAGCAGTAGTAGTGTGTGTGTGTGTGTGTGTGTCTTATATAACTACGGCAAGGAAACAAACTAGCTGGGTTTTATATTCCACCCCAGGGCCGAAGCCACCAAGCTCTTTTCCTCACCCAGTGTGTGTGTGTGTGTGTGTGTAATTCATCTAATATGATGGTTTGAATGGTCCAGTGTGTGTGTGTGTGTGTGTGTGGAGGGATAATTGATTGCATTCCAGCCCATACGTGTGTGTGTGTGTGTGTGTGTGGAAAGGATACTGCAAGTGAAGCAGTGTCTGAGTGTGTGTGTGTGTGTGTGTGTGGATCCCTAAATGACACCACCATGTATTTATTGAAATAAGCAGAAATTATTGGCTCAGAAAGAGCGACGCGGAAGACTCATAACTTGTGTGTGTGTGTGTGTGTGTGTTGTTTGGGATCTCAGTGTAGATGCACAGTGGTGTGTGTGTGTGTGTGTGTGTGTCTCTCCCCAGTGTGCTTCCATTTGGGAAAACCGCTCCTCGATTTGTGGAATCCCCTTTCCCAGAGTTTCACAGGTTCTAAAACCCTGTGTGTGTGTGTGTGTGTGTGTTGCTGTCCTATAACCTAGGCAGGCAATAGGTGGTGTGTGTGTGTGTGTGTGTGTTGGGTTGGTGTTTTCAACACTTCATAGGGTTGGTGTGTGTGTGTGTGTGTGTGTCCTCTATTTGGAAAGCTAATTTCAGCACAATTGTGTGTGTGTGTGTGTGTGTGTCCCCACCTTTTTTTTTTTTTTTCCTTTTTTCTGTGTGTGTGTGTGTGTGTGTGTCCTTTAGATAATTGAATGGTTAGTAGATTAGAGTGTGTGTGTGTGTGTGTGTGTTACTTAGCTACCTATTGGCAGTACCCTTCCCTGTGTGTGTGTGTGTGTGTGTGTAAGTTTTATGCTTAGGACATTTTAGACATAAAGTGTGTGTGTGTGTGTGTGTGTTACATACAGCCCTTACTGTTTGCCAGGTACCAGTGTGTGTGTGTGTGTGTGTGTCTCATTTAATCCTCACAAAACTCTATGAGTTTGTGTGTGTGTGTGTGTGTGTGTACACCTCTGTTTTGTAGATGAGGAAACTGAAGAATGGAAATATCAAGTAACTTGCCTAAGGTCATATAACCTGCTAGTGACAGAGCGTGTGTGTGTGTGTGTGTGTGTAATACTGTACGATATTTATCATCTTTATAACCGTGTGTGTGTGTGTGTGTGTGTTTTTGTGTGTGTTTGTGAAATGTCACATTTGTGTGTGTGTGTGTGTGTGTGTGTTTGCTGAGAAGTAGGGGTAGATATTTTCCCACTTTACATTCAAGAAAGTGCACAAAGGACTTAAGTAACTATGGTTTCCTACTTGCTGACTTTAACCATTAGGTCCCATCATCTTCTTTCCTTCCCAGAATTAATTGTGTACATCTTGACCAAAAGCTTTCGGGGGAAATGACTTTTAAAAAGCTCTGCTTCTGGTGTGTGTGTGTGTGTGTGTGTTATGCTTGTGTGGTTGCAACAGGGATTTGATTGTGTGTGTGTGTGTGTGTGTGTCTAAGTTGGTTTTCTTGCCAAGCAAGCAGTAAGTGCCTTCTGTCAGGAGAACAGAGACATGTTGCCAGCTATTTTGAACAATGTTAGTGTGTGTGTGTGTGTGTGTGTAACTGCCTCTGACTTCTGCCCACTTCTTGAAATATTTTAAGGCCAGCCGTTTAGAAACTTTGTTATCAGTCCCCAGTGTGATCACAGTGTGTGTGTGTGTGTGTGTGTGCTGAGATTTCAGGAGTGAATAGGTTCTGGGTGTGTGTGTGTGTGTGTGTGTGTATGATCTCTGGTGCTTTGTTTACCCGCTTTCCGTGTGTGTGTGTGTGTGTGTGTTAGAATGTGAACCTGTGATTCTCATTCTTTCAGTGTGTGTGTGTGTGTGTGTGTTCTGCCTGCTGTGCTGTGGTCCTCCCTGGGTTGTGTGTGTGTGTGTGTGTGTGTAATCAGTTGCTGCTGAGTGCAAAGAAAAGAGAGTGTGTGTGTGTGTGTGTGTGTCTCTGGGAGAATTCCAGTTCTCCCATTTGTCTGTGTGTGTGTGTGTGTGTGTGTTTGCTCTCCAGAGCCAGTTGCACAGTCCAAACGTGTGTGTGTGTGTGTGTGTGTAACCAGTTGTCAGTATCGATGGATTTTTTTTTGTGTGTGTGTGTGTGTGTGTGTTTTTCTGTGTTAATTAAGTCATTCCCACACAAATCTCGGGAAACAACCTGATAAGTTAATATCTTAGATTACAGAAATATGTTTTCGTGTGTGTGTGTGTGTGTGTGTGGATCTGCAAGTCGTTTTTTTTCCTATTGAACGTGTGTGTGTGTGTGTGTGTGTTAAGATAAGACCCACAAAGAGCTTGGAATGTGGTGTGTGTGTGTGTGTGTGTGTTGTTTATGAAGGTTTTTTTTCCCTCCTTTTTTTGCTTCTCCTGCCTTGAACTGTTGACTGCCTAATTCTGTTTCTCATATGAAAAAGTGTGTGTGTGTGTGTGTGTGTTTGTGTTTGGTTAGAGACACATCCTCTCCTCCCTGTTCGTGCCTGCCTGTTCCACCACACAGGGATATCAAGTGCATCTCCACCAGGTGTGTGTGTGTGTGTGTGTGTAACTACAGCAGGGTGTTAGAAAGCAGTGTGGGTATTTCATGGTACCTGGGCTTTTATATGGAACAACCCTCTACATCAAGAAAGAGGTGTGTGTGTGTGTGTGTGTGTCCTAAAAAAAAAAGTTTGAAAACCATTGCCTTGTGTGTGTGTGTGTGTGTGTGTGAATTATTTTTAGTTGTGGATGGTTGTGAGGAAAAATAAAGCAGTGTTGTTTAGTTTTTTGAACTTACTGGATCGTCTGGGTGGCTGTGTGTGTGTGTGTGTGTGTGTCGGCTCAGGTCATGATCCCAAGGTCCTGGGATGTGTGTGTGTGTGTGTGTGTGTGCTCAGCAGGGAGCCTGCTTCTCCCTCTCCTGGTGTGTGTGTGTGTGTGTGTGTTCTCTCTTTATTAAAGATTTATTAAAAATAAAGTGTGTGTGTGTGTGTGTGTGTAGAGAGCTGGAGCAGGGGAGTGGGGAGAGGGAGTGTGTGTGTGTGTGTGTGTGTGGGAGCCCAAAGCTTAATCCCAGGATCCTGGGGTGTGTGTGTGTGTGTGTGTGTGACACTTAACTGACTGAGCCACCTAGGCACCCGTGTGTGTGTGTGTGTGTGTGTTAAAATTTTGAACTTATTAGAAATGAACAAAGGTGTGTGTGTGTGTGTGTGTGTTTTTTCTTTATACTTAAACTTTAAAAAGTAATGTGTGTGTGTGTGTGTGTGTGTCATCCAGTTAGAATTTGTTATTTTTATCTCAGGTGTGTGTGTGTGTGTGTGTGTTAAAGTATTCCTGGTCATTTCCCAGTGATTGAAGTTACATACATATATAGTGCATCTGTTCATAGCCCCACATGTTAGATTTTGGTGTGTGTGTGTGTGTGTGTGTGTTAATCCTGAGGGCAGGTAGCAGTGAGATGCACAGTAATGAGTCAGCATGGAGTATCCAGAATTTATTTCTATTATCTTGCCAGGAAGTGTGTGTGTGTGTGTGTGTGTAATTGTACATTACTCAACTTCTGTTGTTTTATGTGTGTGTGTGTGTGTGTGTGTGTAATGAGCCATTGTGTACTGTTCTCTTCCTTGTGTGTGTGTGTGTGTGTGTGTGCCTTAAAATCTAGTTTCAGGAAGCAAAAGTGGTGTGTGTGTGTGTGTGTGTGTCAGTACCCTCAGAGACTACTACTGGGAAAGGTGTGTGTGTGTGTGTGTGTGTGTAGGTTCAGCTAAAGCTGATCTAACTTGTCCATGTGTGTGTGTGTGTGTGTGTGTAACAACGTTTTAAAAATTACTCTAGGAGAACATGCAAATCTGTGTTGACTCATTGCTCCCATGGGTTAAACTTGAATTTGTATCTCACATCCTTCTGATGAGCAATGAGATTATATTGCCTTTTTTATCAGTATTACAGAGGCTCTAGGCTCTATTTTGGTTCAGTGAAGCTCACTACCCTGGAAGATGTGATTGTGTGTGTGTGTGTGTGTGTGTCTGCACGCCTGGTGTGTTAAATTTTATTACCTGTGTGTGTGTGTGTGTGTGTGTGATTTTCAAAGGACGCATGTCAGGTCATTATGGTGTGTGTGTGTGTGTGTGTGTTCTGTGACTACATTCAGTAATTAAAACAAAAGGTGTGTGTGTGTGTGTGTGTGTAAAGCCTAAGGGGATAACAAGTTATTAAGATAGTTCCAGAATCTACTGAAATCATTAAATTTTAAGATTCCTTCAGAATCCAGGTGCCTGGGTGGCTCAGTCTTCAAGCGTCTGCCTTCGGCTCAGGTCATGATCCCAGGGTCCTGGGATCGAGCCCCACATCGGGCATCGGTCTCCCCACTTGGCTGGGAGTCTGCTTCTCCCTCTCCCTCTGCCCCTCCTCCCCCCACTTGTGCTCTCTCTCCCTCGTGTGTGTGTGTGTGTGTGTGTAAAAAAAAGTTCCTTCAGAATCCATGGATTATGTGTGTGTGTGTGTGTGTGTGTACAGTGCCAAGTCAAGTAGTCTTCATAGTTTCGTGTGTGTGTGTGTGTGTGTGTTCTTAACTTCAGAGGGTCTTCAGATTATAAAAGTGTGTGTGTGTGTGTGTGTGTCTGGGTTTGTTTTTTTTTTTAAACACTCATTTTTAAACACTCATTTCATTAAGCCAGATTACTCTCACAGAGAAAGTAAACATGTTGGGCAATTTCTCCTACTCCAAGGCTCTAGAATCAAACTGGGTTTGGATCCCTGCGTGTGTGTGTGTGTGTGTGTGTGCGAGGGCAGATGGTTTCGCCTGCATGGTGTATAGGGCATATGAAGGAATGGTAGGAAACGAGACTGGGAAGATTGGGAGATTCAAGTGTGTGTGTGTGTGTGTGTGTTATGTGAGGGTTTGAACTCCTGTAAGTGGATGGTGTGTGTGTGTGTGTGTGTGTAGCAGGGGAAATACACCATCAGAGTATGCTTAGTGTGTGTGTGTGTGTGTGTGTTGAAGGGTTGAATTAGAATAAGGGAGAACTGGGTGTGTGTGTGTGTGTGTGTGTTGATCTAGGTGAGACAAGATACCGAAGCTAAGGTGTGTGTGTGTGTGTGTGTGTGAAGAGATGAATTCAAGACAGACTGAAGCATTGTGTGTGTGTGTGTGTGTGTGTCTGGATATGGAGGGAGGGGAGGGAGAGTCAGGGTGTGTGTGTGTGTGTGTGTGTGAGTTTTGGGAAAGAGGTAAAGTACAAGTTTGGTGTGTGTGTGTGTGTGTGTGTAGATACCCAGATAGGATCTGGAGCTTAAAATAGTGTGTGTGTGTGTGTGTGTGTTATTTTGATGTACTTGGAACCATAGGAGTGGAGTGTGTGTGTGTGTGTGTGTGTGGGGTGAAAAGAAAGATGAGAACAGAACCCTGAGGAACTCTGAAGCTGGAAAAATTGGCCAGGGAAAGAAAGAACCAGAACTACTGGTGTGTGTGTGTGTGTGTGTGTCTACTGACTGTTTTCTCCTAATTCCCTGTGTCTTTAACATGAGGCTAAAGCCAGGAAAGGATTGGGACATACGCAACAAAGCAGAGCATAGCTTTGGGGTTGTTAGGCTAGTTAGTGGAACTTTTCACTACTGCATGCAAGTGTGTGTGTGTGTGTGTGTGTGCTCCACGACCGAAAAGTGCTACTCTGGAAAAATGTCTCTGCTGCACCTTATTCACGTCAGTCTTTTTTGATATTATCTCCTGAACTTACTCCTGTGAGGTTATAACCCCAGTCAATATTCATTTTTATGACTACTCTAAGTGTGTGTGTGTGTGTGTGTGTTTTGACCAAAGTTCAAACTCCTGTTATATGAAACCTAGTAATATGCCTAATAAGGCATGGCCAAAAGAGGTGTTCAGTAGAAAGCAGTGTGTGTGTGTGTGTGTGTGTTGCCATATAAACATATACATAGGAAAAAAGATGTGTGTGTGTGTGTGTGTGTGTAGAAATTCAGTATCCTAGGATATTTTTGTTTCGTGTGTGTGTGTGTGTGTGTGTAATGAGTGTGGAATAGTTAGCAATATGAGGTCGTGTGTGTGTGTGTGTGTGTGTAAAAGATTTATTTTTGTCTTGGCTTTATATCTGTGTGTGTGTGTGTGTGTGTGTATAGCTCTGAAGATGGCTGTAGTAGATATCTATCATTCCAGGTTAAAGGAGAGACAAAGGCGAAAAAAGTAAGTACAGAAAACCATGTGTGTGTGTGTGTGTGTGTGTCTATTGACCACATATAGCCCATAAGAACATTCGTGTGTGTGTGTGTGTGTGTGTCTTGAGGAAGACACTTATTTTCCTTGGTCCTTGTGTGTGTGTGTGTGTGTGTGTAGATAATAATACTTGTCCTTTGTTTGTTTGTTGTGTGTGTGTGTGTGTGTGTGTTTCCTTGATGTTACGATGACCATTGAATAATATGGGTGCACTGTTTTAAGGAAAAAAGGAACAAGATAAATTCAAGGTGTTATCAAGTGTGTGTGTGTGTGTGTGTGTCATTCATTCTAATGGCTCATTTTTTATGAGAAGTCTTATCTAAAAGGATTTCAAAGAAATTCTGAACAGGTTTCAGACAGTTACTCGTGTGTGTGTGTGTGTGTGTGTAAACATACATTCAGACTGAGAAATTACGGATCGTGTGTGTGTGTGTGTGTGTGTAGACTGTTAACAGTTCAGGAAAGGGTATGCAGGTGTGTGTGTGTGTGTGTGTGTTTATCATGGTGTTACAGACTAGAAACACAATGGTGTGTGTGTGTGTGTGTGTGTAGGACTTGGGAGGCACTCTTGAGGGACCAAGAGTGTGTGTGTGTGTGTGTGTGTCCTAGAGTCAGCTTCTGAGAAGTGCCGAAGGAGATTACCCAGCTGCCCCTGTGAGAAGCTTCATCACTAGTCATGAATACCTGCAGGTGTGTGTGTGTGTGTGTGTGTTTTACCTAATTTCTGTTTTTGCTGTGCACACAGTGTGTGTGTGTGTGTGTGTGTCAGTATTGAGGAACTCAGTGGTTGAGGATGCTGTGTGTGTGTGTGTGTGTGTGTTTCCACTAAACATGCACAATATTTATTTCAAAGTGTGTGTGTGTGTGTGTGTGTTGTACACATGTGCAGTTGTAAATGTTGAAGGTGTGATCACGGCGCCCTTTTATGGTTTAGCCGTTTCCCTTAAACGACTGTTCTCAGTGTGTGTGTGTGTGTGTGTGTCAGATTAATTCTTATGACACAGACACAGATTCCCTTCTGTTTCATTCCAAGTTATAGACATGTTTTTCAGTATTTTTGAGTGCTCAGTGTGTGTGTGTGTGTGTGTGTGCTGAGAGTCTATCAGGTCCAAGGAGAAGAAAGTGTGTGTGTGTGTGTGTGTGTAAAATTTTGTTAGCAGACTCACTACCCTTCAGGTGTGTGTGTGTGTGTGTGTGTTCTTTGAACCTCAGTATTCCACCTCATAGTGTGTGTGTGTGTGTGTGTGTGTGTCATGTGGAAGACATTAGATGTGGAACTAATTATACAGTATTGTGGTTTTCATCCTAGAATTATAAGAGACCATGGATTAATCAACCGTGTGTGTGTGTGTGTGTGTGTTTAGCTGCTTTCTTTATTTTAAAATTTCTTCCGTGTGTGTGTGTGTGTGTGTGTCAAATCATTTATGGCAGTAGTTCTTAATCCAAGTTGCATATTAGCATCATGTAGGTAGCTTTTTTTTTAAGTAATCTCCACACCCAGTGTGTGTGTGTGTGTGTGTGTACCAAGATCAGGAGTCACATGCACTACCGACTGTGTGTGTGTGTGTGTGTGTGTTATCATGTTGGAAGCTTTAAAAAAAATTCTGAGTGTGTGTGTGTGTGTGTGTGTAATTAAGTCAGAATCTCTGAGGGTTAATGCTAGTGTGTGTGTGTGTGTGTGTGTAGGAAATTCTGTTACATAGTAGAGTGCAGAACGTGTGTGTGTGTGTGTGTGTGTGTATGATACTTCCTTTTTTTTTTTTTTTTGAGGTGTGTGTGTGTGTGTGTGTGTATATTAATAGATCATTTTCTGGAACTGGGTAGGTGTGTGTGTGTGTGTGTGTGTATTGGGTTGTTAAACATTTTTATGGGAAAAGCGTGTGTGTGTGTGTGTGTGTGTGGACAAACAGGCATCTAGCATTGTATGATGGTGATAGTAAAACTATAATGACTTCTAAGTGAATGCACGCTTTGACCTACTGTTCTGTGTGTGTGTGTGTGTGTGTGTGAGCAGAAAGTCTCTGTACTTTTTCTTCTACAGTGTGTGTGTGTGTGTGTGTGTATGATGACTCATAATGATTACAATATTTATATGTGTGTGTGTGTGTGTGTGTGTGTCACAGTAGTCCTTTTTGTAAAAGTTCCTAACGATTATTGTGCTTCTTATCCTAGTTGATAGAATCTTAGAGGGCTTGACACTCTGTGTGTGTGTGTGTGTGTGTGTAGCCAGTCATGGGTTAAATGTTTTTTAATATAGTGTGTGTGTGTGTGTGTGTGTTTACATTTTTTTTTCACTTTCTGTTACACTTTGTGTGTGTGTGTGTGTGTGTGTAAGATGTCCCTCTTAATAGTTATGTAATATGTGTGTGTGTGTGTGTGTGTGTGTATGCTAAACTTTTGTTATTTAGCTTATTTTCAGTGTGTGTGTGTGTGTGTGTGTAATCCTATGATGAATTTGTGAATAAAGCTTTAGTGTGTGTGTGTGTGTGTGTGTTTAAGGTAGATTCCCAGAAATGGAGGTAATAGGTCAAAAAATGTGATCATTAAAAATGCTTGACCTGCGCTGCCAGATTCTTTTCCGTGTGTGTGTGTGTGTGTGTGTCATTCCTTCTAGCAATGGATGAGATTGCCTGTGTGTGTGTGTGTGTGTGTGTGTACTGTGGGTTTGCAAAATAACTCAGGATCAGAGTGTGTGTGTGTGTGTGTGTGTCAATTATTGGTCATATTCTAGTAGCTACAATAGTGTGTGTGTGTGTGTGTGTGTCTGGGCTTTCAATAATAGGTCAGTAGGGGTTTGACCAAGGTCAATAGACCTTAACTCTCATATAAACTCTATTCTCAGCTGGTAAAGTGTGTGTGTGTGTGTGTGTGTATTCTTTTAATTATTTTGTATGTTTAGAAGCTGTGTGTGTGTGTGTGTGTGTGTAGAGGTCTCAATTGCCATTACAGTGAGTGTATGTGTGTGTGTGTGTGTGTGTGTAGGGGTTTTTTCATCAAATTTAAAGTTTTTACTCCTAATTCTTCCGTACTATCCCTGTAGGGTGTTTTTTTGCTTTTGGTTTTGGCGGGGGAGGGTTTGGTAGTCAAAATAGTCTGTGGCTGCCCATCAAATCAGCGCCTGGAATTTATGGATAAGACTGTCTCCCTCAAGGGAAGAGGTTCAGCTGAGGAAAGGACTTAATTTAAATAACTGTCATGATAGAAAGCTTGTAGTCCAAAAGTGAGCAGGTGTGTGTGTGTGTGTGTGTGTCTCATCTAATCACCTAGTTTCAGCCTAGTTCAGTGTGTGTGTGTGTGTGTGTGTCACTTCTGGCTACTCCAACCTACCACGTACTGGTGTGTGTGTGTGTGTGTGTGTTTCTTTGCTGATACCACTTTTTATTAGAAATTTGGTCGTTAGTGATCCTCAGAGTTACTGACTGTGGCTACCCTGTGTATATACCAGTGTGTGTGTGTGTGTGTGTGTAAATACAACTTCATTCGTAGTAAATTTAGTTGTGGTACTTAGTTTAGAGGAAGGCAAAATGACCCGGATAGAGAATGAAGAAATAAGTGTGTGTGTGTGTGTGTGTGTGGTAGGGAGATTTCTGGTGGGGCATGAAAGATGTGTGTGTGTGTGTGTGTGTGTGTCCACCTCTTCTAGATGGATTATTGTATCTGGTGTGTGTGTGTGTGTGTGTGTAAGTTAATACCAGAAATTTTGCCCAACATTGTGTGTGTGTGTGTGTGTGTGTGTCTTTAATCGTCTTTCCCGTTACTGGCAACAGTCCCTGCACCTGTACAGATGAAGAGCCTGAGGTGTGGAGGTCACCAGGCGCTCAGGTGTGTGTGTGTGTGTGTGTGTTCCAGGGATAACAACATCCCTGTGTGATAGTCGTGTGTGTGTGTGTGTGTGTGTGATTAGTGTTTTGCATTCTTGGCTTTCCTGTTGTGTGTGTGTGTGTGTGTGTGTAGTCATGTGAGGTTAGGAATAGTGTCCTTCCAGTGTGTGTGTGTGTGTGTGTGTTAAGATTTTATTTATTTGACAGAGAGAGACACGTGTGTGTGTGTGTGTGTGTGTGGGGGAGCGGGAGAGGGAGAAGCAGGCTTCTGGTGTGTGTGTGTGTGTGTGTGTGGGCTCGATCCCAGCACCCTGGAATCATGACCGTGTGTGTGTGTGTGTGTGTGTCGACTGAGCCACCCAGGGCCCCTCCATCTCACGTGTGTGTGTGTGTGTGTGTGTAACTTAGAGATTCTTATATTCTCTGTGGCATGGTTGTTTTTTATGTTCTCTGTAGTAATGGAACGGCGGTATCCCAAGGAAGTCCAGTGTGTGTGTGTGTGTGTGTGTCGATTTGCAAGGATAGTGGGGCCAATGGAGCAGTGTGTGTGTGTGTGTGTGTGTGCACGTAGGTGCTTTTCAAGCCTGGCGCAAGTGTGTGTGTGTGTGTGTGTGTGTTGATATAAATAGAGAAATGGTATGTTTTAGGTGTGTGTGTGTGTGTGTGTGTGTGATATTTTTATCTTTTCTTCCCCTTTATTACCGTGTGTGTGTGTGTGTGTGTGTGGGGTGGGACAGAAGAGGTTAAAAAGGCTGGTGTGTGTGTGTGTGTGTGTGTGTGCAGTAGTTTAGTAGTTTCTCCCCCCACTTTTGTGTGTGTGTGTGTGTGTGTGTATACAAAGATAGAGATAATAGTGTAATGAACCGTGTGTGTGTGTGTGTGTGTGTTCAGCAATTAACACATGGCCAGTCCAGCTTCCGTGTGTGTGTGTGTGTGTGTGTTCACCCTCAACTGGATTATTTTGAAGCAAATCGTGTGTGTGTGTGTGTGTGTGTCACAAATATTTTAGTATTAGAACTAGTTTTTAGTGTGTGTGTGTGTGTGTGTGTCTCATGGAGATAGTACCTCCATCATTCTCTCTGTGTGTGTGTGTGTGTGTGTGTTATTTTAAGATTTTATGTATTCATTTGAGAGAGTGTGTGTGTGTGTGTGTGTGTGGAGAGGGAGAAGCAGACTCTCCACTGATCAGGTGTGTGTGTGTGTGTGTGTGTCCCAGGACCCTGAGATTATGACCAGAGCCGAAGGCAGACTCCCAACCAACTGAGCCACCCAGGCTCCCTCATCATTCTCTCTCTTTGTGTGTGTGTGTGTGTGTGTGTAAAATGCTTTTTTATTTCCTTAAGTAATCTCTGTGTGTGTGTGTGTGTGTGTGTTCACAACCCCAAGATCAAGAGTCCCGTGCTGTGTGTGTGTGTGTGTGTGTGTGTCCCAGTACTTCCACCATTCTTTTGCCCGTCTTGTGTGTGTGTGTGTGTGTGTGTCCATTGGATTTTTCACAATAAAAAAATTGAAGGTGTGTGTGTGTGTGTGTGTGTACTTTATAGTAATCTGGACTGGGTGGCTTACGGTGTGTGTGTGTGTGTGTGTGTTATGTATTTGACCCTCAAATTTAGTTCTGGGAGTGTGTGTGTGTGTGTGTGTGTGCCTGTTCTCATCATGCAGATATTTCCTGCACGTGTGTGTGTGTGTGTGTGTGTGCCAGGTTGGTTGTCCTCGTCAAGCACCCTGTGTGTGTGTGTGTGTGTGTGTGTTTTGTACTGGGGTGACTATCTTTTACTTCCTGGTGTGTGTGTGTGTGTGTGTGTTTTATGTGTCATTCTAAAGAATTACACCCCATGTGTGTGTGTGTGTGTGTGTGTATCATGCTCTCTTTCAAAGCACTCAAATATGAGTGTGTGTGTGTGTGTGTGTGTAAGCAGTTTTGCAACCTGAGCTGTGCACTCAGGTGTGTGTGTGTGTGTGTGTGTATGGAAAACAATGCTCTTTTGTTCCTATAGGAGTGTGTGTGTGTGTGTGTGTGTTGGGACTTGAACACAGAGCTTTTGTCTTTTGCTTGCAAAAGGGCCACATCAAGTAATAGCAGAGACAGGTTTTATAAAAGAATTTGGTGTGTGTGTGTGTGTGTGTGTTAGAGGATAAATAGAGCGGGGAAACTTAGTTGGTGTGTGTGTGTGTGTGTGTGTCTTCTGTAGCTAAATGAACTCAGCCGGTTCACTGTATGTTTTCTGGGGGACAGTTCCAGCTGCATTTTCCAGTTGGCCATGGCAGCGTGTGTGTGTGTGTGTGTGTGTTTCCTCAGCTTGTGGGTAAAATTTCTAATGAGGTGTGTGTGTGTGTGTGTGTGTCGCAAACGGAATTGCCCGGTCTCGTATATAAAGCAGAATTACTGAAAATACTCAATAGCAAAAGTGCTCATTGATGATGATTTTGTGTGTGTGTGTGTGTGTGTGTGTTTCTTCTTGGCATAAACAGTGGAATTTGAACTGTGTGTGTGTGTGTGTGTGTGTCAGGAATACAGGACAGCAGGCATTACCAATTTGTGTGTGTGTGTGTGTGTGTGTACACATTGTATCAGGGGCAAGTGTCTTCTAAAGTGTGTGTGTGTGTGTGTGTGTGAGGCCATGTGGATTTTTTTTTAAATGAGCTTGTGTGTGTGTGTGTGTGTGTGTGATCTTTCCAGTAAAGTCTCATCTGTCTAATCGTGTGTGTGTGTGTGTGTGTGTTTATCTCAGGTAAAATAAAAGTGACTACACAAGTGTGTGTGTGTGTGTGTGTGTTGGGAATCTGCTGTGGCCTTTAAAAAAAAAAGGTGTGTGTGTGTGTGTGTGTGTCCTCAGCCTTTTAAAATTTTGTGATGCATGGTGTGTGTGTGTGTGTGTGTGTGTCTTCAAATGGCCCTATGTGCTTGCCTCCCAGTTACTTAAGGTAGTAATAATAATTATATTAATAGCAGCTAACATCTAAATAGCAGGTGTGTGTGTGTGTGTGTGTGTTGTGCTAAGTATTTCACCTGGATGGTATCATGTGATTCTCATAACAAACAGGAGATAGGCATTGTTATTTCCATGTAATGAAGAAAGTGTGTGTGTGTGTGTGTGTGTAGATACTTGTAATAGAGCCAGGTCGTAAGGGAGTGTGTGTGTGTGTGTGTGTGTAAGAGCTTGAGGTCTAGAATTGGACAGGTTGGGTGTGTGTGTGTGTGTGTGTGTTTATCAGATTTGTAATTTGTTTGGGTTTCAATTTTCCAAGTCTCTCTAAGAGTTAGTAAGATTAAATTAGAGATAATGCATGAAAACAGCACAGTACCTGGCCCACAGTAAATGCTCAATGAATGGCAGTTTCTCTTGTTGTGTGTGTGTGTGTGTGTGTGTTTTAGATTTTTATTTATTTGACAGAGAGAGACGTGTGTGTGTGTGTGTGTGTGTCAGGGGGAGCGGGAGAGGGAGAAGCAGGCTTCGTGTGTGTGTGTGTGTGTGTGTGGGGGCTCGATCCCAGCACCCTGGAATCATGAGTGTGTGTGTGTGTGTGTGTGTAACGACTGAGCCACCCAGGGCCCCTCCATCTCGTGTGTGTGTGTGTGTGTGTGTAGAACTTAGAGATTCTTATATTCTCTGTGGCAGTGTGTGTGTGTGTGTGTGTGTTAGTAATGGAACGGCGGTATCCCAAGGAAGTCGTGTGTGTGTGTGTGTGTGTGTGACGATTTGCAAGGATAGTGGGGCCAATGGAGGTGTGTGTGTGTGTGTGTGTGTACGCACGTAGGTGCTTTTCAAGCCTGGCGCAAGTGTGTGTGTGTGTGTGTGTGT